ATGTTGTCCTGGATTGTGGAATTCATTGTTTTCCATAAAACTAGAAATTTGATTCCTAATCACTTTCAAAAACTTGTGTGTGATGTTAGTGCAACTGGCCTATAATTTTTTGCCAAGGCTTTACTACCCCCCTTGTGCAACGGAGCTATATCTGCAGATTTAAGTGCTGCTGGTATCTTCCCTGTATCCAGGCTCTTTCTCCATATTACGCTGAGTGCTCTCGCTACTGGTACTTTACATTTCTTTATGAATATTGAATTCCACGAGTCAGGCCCAGGAGCTGAGTGCATGGGCATATTGTCAATTTATCTTTCAAAGACTTCCGAGTTCGTGTTAATATCCGTTATATTATCTGCAGCTTGAATGTCATTCATGAAGAAGCTGTCTGGGTCATCAACTTTCATGTTGTTTATTGGTGTGCTAACTCTAGGGTTGTTGAGCCTGGCCACTCTAGGGTTGTTGATGCTGGCCACTCTAGGGTTGTTGATGCTGGCCACTCTAGGGTTGTTGATGCTGGCCACTCTAGGGTTGTTGATGCTGGCCACTCTAGGGTTGTTGATGCTGGCCACTCTAGGGTTGTTGATGCTGGCCACTCTAGGGTTGTTGATGCTGGCCACTCTAGGGTTGTTGATGCTGGCCACTCTAGGGTGGGTGATGCTGGCCACTCTAGGGTGGGTGATGCTGGCCACTCTAGGGTGGGTGATGCTGGCCACTCTAGGGTGGGTGATGCTGGCCACTCTAGGGTGGGTGATGCTGGCCACTCTAGGGTGGGTGATGCTGGCCACTCTAGGGTGGGTGATGCTGGCCACTCTAGGGCTGGTGAGCCTGGCCGCTACTCTAGGGCTGGTGAGCCTGGCCGCTACTCTAGGGCTGGTGAGCCTGGCCGCTACTCTAGGGCTGGTGAGCCTGGCCGCTACTCTAGGGCTGGTGAGCCTGGCCGCTACTCTAGGGCTGGTGAGCCTGGCCGCTACTCTAGGGCTGGTGAGCCTGGCCGCTACTCTAGGGCTGGTGAGCCTGGCCGCTACTCTAGGGCTGGTGAGCCTGGCCGCTACTCTAGGGTTGGTGAGCCTGGCCGCTACTCTAGGGCTGGTGAGCCTGGCCGCTACTCTAGGGCTGGTGAGCCTGGCCTCTACTCTAGGGCTGGTGAGCCTGGCCGCCGCTCTAGGGCTGGTGAGCCTGGCCGCCGCTCTAGGGCTGGTGAGCCTGGCCGCCGCTCTAGGGCTGGTGAGCCTGGCCGCTACTCTAGGGCTGGTGAGCCTGGCCGCTACTCTAGGGCTGGTGAGCCTGGTCTCTACTCTAGGGCTGGTGAGCCTGGCCACTCTAGGGCTGGTGAGCCTGGCCTCTACTCTAGGGCTGGTGAGCCTGGCCACTCTAGGGCTGGTGAGCCTGGCCGCCGCTCTAGGGCTGGTGAGCCTGGCCGCTACTCTAGGGCTGGTGAGCCTGGCCTCTACTCTAGGGCTGGTGAGCCTGGCCTCTACTCTAGGGCTGGTGAGCCTGGCCTCTACTCTAGGGCTGGTGAGCCTGGCCGCCGCTCTAGGGCTGGTGAGCCTGGCCGCTACTCTAGGGTTGGTGAGCCTGGCCGCTACTCTAGGGCTGGTGAGCCTGGCCGCTGCTCTAGGGCTGGTGAGCCTGGCCGCTGCTCTAGGGCTGGTGAGCCTGGCCGCTGCTCTAGGGCTGGTGAGCCTGGCCGCTACTCTAGGGCTGGTGAGCCTGGCCGCTACTCTAGGGCGGGTGAGCGTGGCCACACCTTGGTCACTCTGGTGGCCGCTACTCTAGGGCTGGTGAGCGTGGCCCCACCTTGGTCACTCTGGTGGCCGCTACTCTAGGGCGGGTGAGCCTGGCCCCACCTTGGTCACTCTGGTGGCCGCTACTCTAGGGCTGGTGAGCCTGGCCACTCTAGGGCTGGTGAGCCTGGCCTCTACTCTAGGGCTGGTGAGCCTGGCCGCCGCTCTAGGGCTGGTGAGCCTGGCCGCTACTCTAGGGCTGGTGAGCCTGGCCACACCTTGGTCACTCTGGTGGCCACAACTCTCCCAGGTGTGAATCAAGACAACATAACCACTGTTCAAGTACAGTCACTGGTGTCAGCGGCCATCACGCTGTGTTTGTGGTCTTCTTGTTGACAAAGCCTAAGTAGCAGTCCACTTAACGACTTGTGATAATTAGTATGTGTCGTTGTTTGTTCTTATACAGTCAGCTACTCGGAACAAGTTCCAATTAGCACTGGCTATGGTGAGCCCGTAGTGGACTTACCTGGCACAGGAGCGGGGCAAGTAGCACGGGCTATGGTGAGCCCGTAGTGGACTTACCTGGCACAGGAGCGGGGCAAGTAGCACGGGCTATGGTGAGCCCGTAGTGGACTTACCGGGCACAGGAGCGGTGGGGTGTGTAGTATGTGTCTGGAAGAGGGAATTAAGAGTAGAGGAGAATAGTGTGCTATAGGTAGGGAGAGGTGGTGTGGAGGGCGGTAGTGTGGCCGCCACGCAGGTGCGCACAGAGAGTATGGTGAGGTGAAGACCGAGGTGCCGGGAACCTCTGGTTAATGGCCACATCCCATACTCACTTCCCACACGGGTGCAGTCGCACCTCTACAGATCTCCAGTATCAGCTCTTGATACTAGTAATGGCTCAAAATGGCCACCACTTACGGGCTATTCATGCTCGTGCCACCTTTTGGGTGGCTTAATCTTCATCATCATCATCACTTCCCAAACCGCTCAGTCAGTGGGCCAGACTTGTGAAGTCCAGGAGACCGTGAGCCTTTGAGCGCCTCCCAGCGTGAGCCAGGCGGAGCAACCTGCAACAGTCTGGGGCGGGATGAGCCCCCACCACCTCTGTCTTGTATATATATGAATAATCATCTAAGTTAAGTAAGCGCCAACACGGAACATCCGTGGACATCTTCAAGAGGAAACTACATTTATTCCTCCAAGGAGTGCCGGACCAACCGGGCTGTGGTGGGTATGTGGGCCTGCGGGCCGCTCCAAGCAACAGTCTGGTGGACCAAACTCTCACAAGTCAAGCCTGGCCTCGGGCCGGGCTTGGGGAGTAGAACGACTCCCAGAACCCCCATCAACGTACACGGAGCAATCACATCATCGTGATATATCAGTGAGAAAATCCACAGGAGCCGTGACGAGGATTCGAACCTGTGACTCCTCATTACGGTGCCTGTGGTTGTTGTTATAGATTCAGCTACTCGGAACAAGTTCCAAGTAACACAGGCTATGGTGAGCCCGTGGTGTACTTACCTGGCACAGGAGCGGTGCTGTGGTGCCTGTGGTGATATATTTCGCTAATATATCGCGATAATGGGATTTCTGTGTGTTGAAAGAGTGGCGTCAGATGTAGACTTACTGGACGACAGAGCCACCAGAGTGCGGGGGGGGGGGGGTTGTGTGAAGCCCTGGTTCTGCTTCAGTGGCATCCTGGAGGGTTACAACAGTACCTCAGGCCAGCCCGTCCTCCAAACAAAGACCCAAAAGTGATTCCATCCACCCGCCAAACCCCAGCTGTTTATGAATGAAAAACGGTTTACACACGACTCACAACTGATGACGTTCGAACACTTCCGGAACGAGTGCTTCACTGACGAATTTTGTTCGAACCACAACGCTGTAAATGCTTCACCCACGTACTACAAATAATCGCCAACAGAACCTTAACACATAACCTATGTCTATATATGCACAATGTGTTAATATATTATAATATTAATTTATATTTGATAAAATTCCCGTTTTGAATGAACAGCATGTTCAAATTTATGAATGCATCTGTGGGGTTTACCGCTGGATGGAATGGACTTGAGTCGAGGATGGGTTGCTCAGGTTGCAATTCTTTTGACTATGTCGTAGCGTAGTCGTTTAGAGCGTTCGTCTCGGCGCATAGGCTCAAATCCTCATCACGGCCCCTGTGGATTTAAATACGAACAGTTAGTTAAATAACAGGACGTACAAGTCATAAAGGGGTAGAATGGCCTATTGACATAGCTCGGGTGCATGGGGGAATTGTGTAAAATCCTGGTTTGTGTCTCGGAGAGGCTGCAGGATCCAAGTAACTTAAGTAGAATTTCTGGTTGCAATTCTTTTACGATGTCGTAGCTCAGTCGATTAAGGCAGCTTCTGGGATGCTCTCGGACGTAGGTTCGAATCCTCATCACGGCCCTTGTGGATTTGTTCATAAAGAGGGAACTAGACAAGTAGCTAAAGTAGGCATGTGATAAGCATAGCTGTGATGGGTATATGTGCCTTCAGGACATAAACAGCAACAGCCTGGCTGATCAAGTCATGAGGGATGCTGGGCCTCAGCCCTGACTGAATCTATAAGAACTTGTGAAATATTGTGAAGTGGAGGGGAGCTGGTCGGCCGAGCGAACAGCACGCTGGACTTGTGATCCTGGGGTCGATCCCAGGCGCCCGCGAGAAACAATGGGCAGAGTTTCCTTCACCCTATGCCCCTGTTACCTAGCAGTAAAATAGGTACCTGGGTGTTAGTCAGCTGTCACGGGCTGCTTCCTGGGGGTGGAGGCCTGGTCGAGGACCGGGCCGCGGGGACACTAAAGCCCCGAAATCATCTCAAGATAACCTCAAGAAGGTACAGGCAACTCTGTCTCCACAGAGACGCGAGGCTTACACGCTCACACTGACCGTCACCCTACAACTAAACCACATTTTAATGCTTCTTTACAATAGCAAAACTTCTCTAAAAATATTGAAATTGTGCTAAATATCTCATGATCCTGAAATATACAATTGTTGCCTTTAGGTTGGGTAGAGGGCGAGGAGCAGAGTGGGTGTGATGGCAGCTCTCCTTGTACCCGCCAACACCCTCACTACTCCCATGTACACTTGTAATAGACTGCTCCAACCCTTAGTCTCCAAGGAGGATTTTTAACGTGGGTGCAGCCAGGTGCTTCTTGAGCACCATATCATCGCACGGACACCCAGTCTGACACCTAGACTCCAACTAATAGCTCATATTGACCTCTCCCATGTCCGCAGATCTGGACACAACACCAACTTGTAGCTCATATTGACCTCTCCCGTGTCCGCAGATCTGGACACAACACCAACTTATAGCTCATATTGACCTCTCCCGTGTCCGCAGATCTGGACACAACACCAACTTGTAGCTCATATTGACCTCTCCCGTGTCCGCAGATCTGGACACAACACCATACAAGAAGGGACTGCGATGACAGACGGGATTCCCAATCCTCCTTACAGGTGATTAAACACTGTTGACTTTGCTCTGGCACACTTGCGCTTCTTAGTCTGTGTTTGTGTTGTGTGTGTGTGTGAGGGCCGTTGTCGTCCCTAGTTGTCTCGCGCTTATAATTACGTCTTGCTATATGAATGTTGGCTCCATAACTGCTGGTAGTTGGCACAGTAGGTGTTGTTTCTGTGGACTCCTCCAAGTTGCTGCCAAAGGCTGAGTGTATCCGCTTGTTAGTGTAGAAATTTTATAGTAAATGGTCAAAATGATGGTTGTAAATCATGGTATCCTTATTACTACACTGAAGTGTAAGTTTTGTAAAAACGAACATTTGGAGATATTCAAAGAATATTGTGAACGTTTTTCTAGAATTTAGGCTCTCCAAAATTAGTGTTCTGTCCATACATAGCGAACAGAATCAGTTGGTGTCACTTAATATATTCATTTAATCACCCAGTATGCCATGATAAAATGCGACTAACTTTTCATTGTGTTGCCACCAATTTCGAATATTAAAAGACATTTATGTGTAGGTGCTTAGGTATATTAGTAACCTGTCCTCTTACAAATTACGTCTGAATTTGGCCGTTTGCCCGTATGGCCGAAAATGAACGTAATTTGAAAATGAAAAATAATTATAAATAAATTGTGCATTTTTTTTTCTCAAACAGCAAGTTAAGGGTTCTCTGGTAGGTTAGGAGGGCAGGAAGTTCTCCTAAGGTTTCAAAACATCATGAAGACCGTTAATTGAAAGTTTCCCTTCCTAACCTAACCGAGCAAGCCGGAGGACTCAAAACAGAGGATGGGACTGTACATCAAGCTACAAGCCATCAAGCTCAAGCTACAAGAATCATACAAAACCCAGGAGAGGCAAAGAGAGCAAAAGGCCATCAGTGAAATAGAGAGAAATCCGAAATATTTTTTCTCCTATGCAAATTCATGATCAAAAACCACATCTAGTATCGGGCCCCTGCGAAAGGGAGATGGAACTTTCACCGCTGACAACAAAGAAATGAGCGAGTTACTGAGGAAGCAGTACGACTCTGTTTTCAGCGAGCCACTAAACGCACTAAAGATTGATAACCCAAATGAATTCATGGATATGATACCAACATCAAATCATATTCAGACGTCACCCTATCCCCACTGGATTTTGAAGAAGCCATAAACAGTATGCCTATGCACTCTGCACCAGGCCCGGATTCTTGGAACTCCATATTCATCAAGAACTGTAAAAAACCACTATCGCAGGCCTTTCACATTCTGTGGAGACAAAGCCTAGATACTGGCGTTATCCCTGACATACTAAAAACCGCAGAGATAGCACCACTTCATAAAGGAGGAAATAAGGTAGAGGCAAAAAATTACAGACCGATAGCACTAACATCGCACATCATAAAAAAATTTGAGTGCTAAGAAGTAAGATCACAAAATACATGGAATCACAGCATCTCCATAACCCCCGACAACATGGTTTCAGAACAGGGCGCTCTTGCCTGTCACAGTTGCTGGACCACTATGATATGGCATTAGATGCTATGGAAGACAAACAAAACGCTGATGTAATTTACACAGATTTCGCAAAAGCTTTAGATAAATGTGACCATGGTGTTATTGCACATAAAATGCGTTTAAAAGGAATTACCAGAAAAATAGGCAGATGGATCTACAGTTTCCTGACAAACAGAACCCAATGTGTAATAGTCGACAAAATAAAATCCAGCCCATCAACCGTGAAGAGCTCAGTCCCCCAGGGTACTGTGTTTGCTCCAGTACTTTTTCTCATCCTCATATCGGACATAGACAAGAACACAACTTATAGCACTGTATCATCCTTTGCAGATGACACGAGGATCTTCATGAGAGTAGGCAACATAGAGGACACGGCAAACCTCCAATCGGATGTAGATAGTCTTTCTATGGGCTACAGAAAATAATATGGTGTTTAACGAAGATAAGTTTCAGCTCATGCGCTAGGGAAAAAATGAAAATATAAAAACGGAAACCACGTACAAAACTCAGGCAAATCATAACATAGAACAAAAAGGCAATGTAAAGGATCTGGGTGTACTCATGTCGGAAGACCTTGCCTTTAAAGAACACAGTAAAGTAGCCGTCACAACTGCAAGAAAAATGACAGGTTGGATAACAAGAACCTTTCTCACTAGAGATGCTATACCGATGATGATACTTTTCAAAACGCTTCTGCTCTCTAGAGTGGAGTACTGCTGCACAATGACAACCCCTTTCAAAGCTGGAGAAATTGTTGACCTGGAGAGTGTACAGAGATCCTTTACTGCCAGAATCCACTCGGTAAAACATCTAAACTACTGGGACCGACTAAAGAGCCTAAATCTGTACTCCCTTGAGCGCACGCGGGAGAGATACATAATAATTTGCACGTGGAAAATAATTGAGGGGCTGGTCCCAAACCTGCGCACAGAAATAACATCACATGAGACCAGAAGACATGGCAGGATGTGCAGAATACCCCCGTTGAAAAGCAGATGTGCAACAGGTACTCTGAGAGAGAACTCTATCAACATCAGAGCCCCGAGACTGTTCAACACGCTTCCACTGCTCATAAAGGGCATAACTGGCCGACCCCTCACAGTGTTCAAGAGAGAACTGGATAAGCACCTCCAAAGGATACCTGATCAATCAGGCTGTGACTCATACATCAGGCTGCGAGCAGCGGCGTCCAACAGCCTGGTTGATCAGTCCAGCAACCAGGAGGCCTGGTCGACGACCGGGCCGTGGGGACGCTAAGCCCCGGAAGCACCTCAAGGTAACCTCAAGGTAAGGTATCACTTTTGTGATCCGATTTCATTTCAAATTACGTCTACTTTTGGCCATAGCGCTCATACCTGTGAAAAGCGACGTTATTATAGGAGGACGGATTGATATATAGGAGCATGGTAGAGAAGGGCAGTGGACAGTCCCAAGGCATTGTAGTGTGAGTGATGCACCTACGTGGCCTCTTGAGGAGTGTGGGAAGCGTGCTGGCATGTTGAGCAAGTTCTCGAGTTTAATGGTAGTGTGTTGTAAAACTTAACTTTATAAAGACTGCTCAATAGGTTGATAGAGCTTCGGCCTCACGCGTATGGGGTCCACGAGTCGATCCTCATAGAGGCCAGGTGGATGGAGGGCGGGAAGTATCGGGGAAAAGCCCCAAGTAATTACGACTATATAGCACTTGGAAGGGGTCACAATAAGAATTTGGGATGGCAATGGGGTGGAAGGAATGGTGCCCAACCACTTGTAGACGGTCGAAGATTGAACACCGACCTGCATGAAGCGAGACCGTCGCTCTACCGTAATGGAATAGAAGTGTTTACCTGAAGCATCTCCCTAAGGATTAACTATATACAACAGTGCTGAACTTTTGGTACCGAGTGACTATGAGGGCGAGAATTGGGTCAGCGGGAGCTGCAGCTGCTTACATCGTGTTGATATGATAATATATAAAACATCACAAGGGATTCATATCGTTTACGTGTATTCATATATTATAAATATATAATATATATTATATATTATTGTATGCAGTATGAAGATCTCCAGTGGGTGGTGTTACGGAACCCCCTCCAATTTCTCCCCAGACCCAACTTTAAGTCATATCTGCTGACCCTGCTGATTCTCTGAGATGCAGGGAGTCTGTTGATATGTGTGACGACCAGATCGGCTGTCTGATAAGGGATAAATTTACCTTTGTAAGTTTGTAGGTAAAAGGGGGAAGTAGCGCCCGTGAGACAAACAAAATGGTGCCCCCTCTGCCTGCAAATCCGCCATTTTGTGGACGACGCCGGCCGGCTGCGGATTGGCTGGCTTAGGTCACATGCCGCGGGCAACCAATCGGCGCCCGCCGTGACGTCACCGAGTGCCCCTGGCGGCGCCGGCAGAGGTGAGCCTGACAGTAGATGTGAGAGGTCATGTGTTGAACAGCTCTCGAGGATTGGAACCTCTGGGAGTCTCTCTCAGTGGATCATTGGCAACCATCGTAGCCCACTATTGTTATTGGAGACCCCGTGCTTCTGGGAAGCACGGGGGTCTCCAGCACCCTGCGACAGCACCCTGCGTGACGGGAGATGTCTCCCGAGTGTGAGAGGGTGATTGATTGATAAAGATTAAGCCACCCAAGAGGTGGCACGGGCATGAATAGCCCGTAAGTGGTACAATTTTTTTTTCTCAGTATTCTGAGGTTGCATTTAACCATCAAGCTGTTATCGCGGGGGAGGATACTGCTTCACAGTCTTTATGAGGGTGTCCAGCTGCTGGACACCTTTGTTGACCAGGAGAGTGGCTGTGTTGATGGCTTCAGGATTATCTTGAGGTTATCTTGAGATGATTTCGGGGCTTTAGTGTCCCCGCGGCCCGGTCCTCGACCAGGCCTCCACCCCCAGGAAGCAGCCCGTGACAGCTGACTAACACCCAGGTACCTATTTTACTGCTAGGTAACAGGGGCATAGGGTGAAAGAAACTCTGCCCATTGTTTCTTGTCGGCGACCGGGATCGAACCCGGGACCACAGGATCACAAGTCCAGCGTGCTGTCCGCTCGGCCAACCGGCTCCCTAGGGTGAGAGGGTGGGAGAGAGGGTGGCCACTGCATGATTCAGGAACTCTTAAAAGCTCTTCTAAGGTCATTGGTTGCTTCACATTCCAGAAGATAGTGAAGTAATGGCTTTTCTGTGACAGTTTGGCAGAAGATTGAATTGAAATTGAAATTGAAATAAGTTTATTGAGGTAAAATACACACAAAGGGATGAGGTAGCTCAAGCTATTCTCACCCCGTTCAGTACAACGTGTTAATATATACATAGACACACATCACAAATAAACACATTACCAAACATTCTGAGAGGT